ATTCTGGAGAATGTTCCATGTGCGTTGGAAAATAAAGTATGGCTGCTGTTGGGTGGAGTGTTCTGTATATGTCTATGAGATCAAGTTGGTTGATTGTGGCATTTAGATCTTCTGTGTGTTTACTGAGCTTCTTTCTGGATGTTCTGTCCTGTACTGAGAGTGCTGTGTTGAAGTCTCCATTATTGTGAAATGGTCTATCTCTCTTTTCAATGCTGTCAAGAGTTTGTTTTACATATTTTGGAGCCCTGTCATTGGGTGCGTAAATATTTATGCCCTCCTGGTGCGCTGACTCTTTAATCATTATATAGTGTCCTTCCTTATCCTTTGTGGTGACTTTTATTTAAAGTCTTTTTTGTCAGAGATTAATATTGCCACTCCTGCTCTTCGAGTGTTGTTATATTTTTGATACATTTTTTTCCCATTCTTTGAGTTTTAATTTGTGTCTTTAAGTCTAAGGTGGGTGTGTCTCTCGTAGGCAGTGTATAGACGGATCATGTTTGTTTATCCATTCTGCCACTCTCTGTCTCTTTATTGGTGCATTTTGTCCATTTACATTCAGCATAATTATTGATAGAGACACATTTAGTGCTGTCATTTTTATGTCTTTTTCTTGTGTTGTTGACAGTTTCTTTGATCCACTTAATTTTCTGTGCTGAGTCCTTTTTTAATGTATTTTCTTTTCATCTTTTTCATTGTTGATTTTGTATTTGCTGAGTCTTTATTTTTCTTGATTTTTATTTTGATGTGTAGGATTGTTAGTTTCCTTTGTGGTTACCTTAATATTTACCCATTTTTCTAAGTTTAAACCAATCTTTTATTTCTTTATATTGCCTCGACTTCCTCTCCATATGAAGGATTTATGACTACATTTTTTTAGTCCCTCTTTTGTGTTTTAATGTTATCATCTTTTACATATTGCTGTCTCTGTTTCCCTATTTTTAGCATTTTAGCTTTGATTTATTTTTGTGACTTCCCTATCTGGGTTGATATCTGCCTGCTCTGTCCTGTGTTCTAGTCTTGGGTTGTTATCTGATGTTATTGATTTTCTAACCAGAGGACTCCCTTTAGCACTTCTTGTAATTTTGGTTTAGTTTTTGCAAATTCCCTAAACTTCTGTTTATCTGGAAATGCCCTAATTTCGCTATCACATTTGCGAGACAGTTTTGCTGGATATATAATTCTTGGCTGGCATTTTTTTTTCTTTCAAGGCTTTATATACTTTATCCCATTGCCTTCTTGCCTGCATGGTTTCTGCTGAATAATCTGAGCTTATTCTTATTGACTCTCCTTTGCAGGTGACTTTTTGTTTATCCCTAGCCACTCTTAAAATTCTCTTTATCTTTGGTTTTGGCAAGATTGATTATAATATGTCTTGGTGACTTTCTTTTGGGATCTACCTTGTGTGGATTTCGATAAGCATCTTGGATAGATATCTTCTTATCTTTCATGGTATCAGGGAAGTTTTCTGCCAACAAATCTTCAACAATTCTCTTGGTATTTTCTGTTTCCCCCGTTCTGATACTCCAATCACTTGTATGTTATTCCTCTTGATAGAGTCCCACATAATTCTTAGAGTGTCTTCGTTTTTTTAAATTCTTTTATCTGATTTTTTCTCAAGTAAGTTGGTGTCAAGTGCTTTATCTTCAACTCACTAATTCTGACTTCCATTGCTTCCATTCTGCTGCTATGACTTTATATTGAGTTGTGTAATTCTGAAATTCTATTGTTAACCTTCTGGATTTCTCTTTGCTGTCTTTCTATGGATTCTTGCAGCCTGTTACATTTGTCATTGTGCTCTTCTATAATCTTCTTAAATTCCTCTATTGCTTTGTCTATCTTTTCCGTGGCTTGTTCTGTGTTTTGCCTGGTCTGCTTCCTGATCTCTTGAAGAGTTCTGTATATTAATCTTTTGTATTCTGCCTCTGGTAATTCCAAGAAATTTTCTTTGTCTGGAAAATTTCTTGATTCTTTGTTTTGGGAGCTTGCTGAAGCCATCATGGTCTGCCTCTTCATGTGATTTGACATTGACTGTTGTCTCTGAGTCATCAATAAGTTATCAAATTTATTTACTTTATGCTTGCTTACTGTGTCCTAGATTCTTGTTTTGTTTTGATATGGCCAAATAGGCTGCTTGTGTAAGCTAGTTTGATTACTGGCGCCTTTGAAGCTCTAATAGCCTGTCACCAAGTGCTTAGATCTGTTTCTAGGTATGTGCGCCCAGGAGTCCATTTACTCTTCTTGCATGGATTCAGTTCAGGTGTCCAGGCAGTCGGTCACCAAGTGTGTGGTGCAGGCTCTCACCTACAGTCCTAGATGGGCAGGAGGGGTTGGTGTAGGCACAAGTATCTGGTTGCAGTAGGGGGTCACGTGCTTAGCAAGGCAGGGGGCTGATGGCTGCCCCTGAGTGTCTGGGAGGAAAGCGTGTCCCTGTTCCGTAGAGCGCATTTTGGGTGGGTTTTACAGCCAGACTATGGGCACCCAATGCTGTTGGATGTAAGGACTGGGAGGCACCACTTATTCTTAGACACCTGTCACGGGTGGCTAGGTGGTATGGGTGGAGCCACCAGCCCTCAGGCCCCTGATGTGGGTAGGTAAGGACCCTGCTTAATGGGCCAAGCGACATCAAATGTCATGAACCTGCCACTCCACCATGTAGCTGACAGTTGAAGTTAGGCTTCCGGTATATACCCTATTGTACTGTGCTAATGAGGGCCTATGCTGCTGAAATGGGTCCATATAAATCTATGCAGGAGTGAAAGTCATTCGAAGTCTGTGGACCCCTTATGCCTGTGTGTAGGCAAAGGAGCTGCACCTACCCTAAGTTTCCTGCTTAGGGGAGATGGTAGATTATTTATCCTTGTTTGTTAATGCATTCCCTCTCCAATTCCAGGATAATGGCTCAGGGCACGTGACTGGTCCTTACTTCCAGCCCAGGGCACTCGGCAGTGGCTGAAGCCTGCCAGGGACCCAGTGCAGAACAGGGAGTGGGCAGATAAACAGGAAAGATGTTTTTCCCAAAGGGGATGCTTCTCGATCTGCACAGTAGTTTAGACACATGTACTTATCTTTTGCCAATTGAGCGCCACTTTTCACTGGTTCTGGAGGCTTGAGTAGACTCTTCGCCACTCAGTCTCTCCCAGTGTGGAAAATGCATCCTGAGAGCCAGTGCTTGCCTCGCTGCATGCACTGGCTGCAGGGTACCGGTTCCCACCCCACCAGGTCAAGTCTGGCAACTCCTCACTGCTTCTGAACCATTTCTCCCTCCCTCTGCTGCTCAGTCCAACTCCTCAACTTTGCCTTTGATGTTCAGGGCCCTAGACTGTCATATACAATCGATTCACTTGTTTTTTCGGGTGTTTGTTGTAAAAGAGACCGCAGAAAGCAGCTGACTACTCTGCCATCTTGGCCCCGCCTCAGAATACATACACTTTTAAAGACAAATTTTTCTTTCTATGTTGCCAGAATATTTATGCCTAACTAGGAAAAGCAGTGGTGCTTGTTAAAATAGAGCATGCCACTGAAAATGAAATTTTCTACCACTACTGCTTCACTAAAAAGGAGAAACAATTTTTCCTGTAGGAAAAAAGTGGTAAAGCTAAATTTAATTAATTACTAGGTTAGCATGAATAGTCCCTTAAAATTCCCTAATCAATTATTTTTAAAAACAAGGTGACGAGAAGGTTAAAAGAGAGAGAGAGGGAGAGAGCACCTACTGTACCTCATTCTCTAATGGATATGAAGCCAATCTGTGTACCAAAACTAAGGCCATCTCGAACATGGGAGAAAAACTTGTTGGGATGGCAGGATGTACAGAGGCTGAGATCTTGGTCCTGGTCTTGAATATTCTGAGGAAGAATTCCTCCCCGTTCTAGAAGAACCCTTAGGATAAACATTTTTCAAAAGACAGCATGAGTTTCTTTTGCCAATAGCCAAAACAGTATGAAAAAACTATAGATACTGGTGAAAGAATTCTGGGAAAGGTCAACTTGGAACAATGCAAATTGCTACTCAGTTATAAGGGCTTGTCAGGAAATGGTAGATTTTATTAGTATTTATCATACATGAACCGTACATCCTACCATATTGCCCAGCAGACATGATCTGGGTACAGAATTTTGTAATCAATTACTTATTCAAGTGGAAACCTTTAAAGTTACCAGGTATTTGTAGACAAGATTCATTTGATTCAGACATAGCATGCTTTTTAGTTATCTGGCCCTACCACCTCCTTTCCTCCTATTAACTGGATTTTTCACAGAAAACTTGCTTCTCCATAAATATTTTATTTGAAATATGACTACAAATTAGTGATACTTATTCCACAAGTCACACTTAAAAATCAATTTCAATTCTTTATACTTATGTACTAAATGAGGCAGAATAATGACAAGGTTTGGCTGACTAGAACAGAAACACAATTCAAATCAGACAGCAATTTTCCTCTGCAGAAATAACAAACATTTTTTTCAACAGATATTAATAGTAAAACTTCATAAATTCAAGAATGCAAGGCATCATAAAAATATGCCTTGAAAATGACTGTGTGTTTATATTACCTAATATCTTTATTAAGAAATATATTCTTCTAGTTAGAGAATAAGAATCATTTAAAAAATATTGGCTTCCTCATAGTTTATTATAATTAGGAGAATTTAGCTGAGTAATGGTTGTAAAGTAAAGTAGATGCTAACTTCATATATTAAGTTAAAGTAGACCTCATAAAATTATATGCCAAACCCTGGCACCTAGCCAACTGTTTCTTCCTTCACTTTTAAATCAGTAAGAGATGCCAGATAGGAAAATTTCTGTTATTCAACTGAAATGACAATAGATTCATATATAAAGTAAGTTTTTGTGAATATATGTATATAGTGGTAGCTATTTAAATGTCTACCACCTGAATTTTCCTTGGAGTTACTAATTGTTTTCTGAAACGGCTTTGACTTTAGAAGCAATAAGCAATAACCAAACTTGCAGATCCAGAATGAAATCAAACATACCTGGTGGCTTTACGAATGTCAATGGAGGGATCTGGTGAGTCAAACAGTCGTACACATTTGGGATCAAGGTTATGAAATGCCGTTGCTGATTCCTTTGGAAGAGTAAAACAGCAAGGTCCCACTGAAGGGCCCAGCACAACAATAATGTCTTCCAAACTACAGCCATATTCTGCTATCATAGCATTCACTGTAGCCATAGCAACACCTAACAAAGTTCCTTTCCAACCTGGTAAACAGGAAGAAAAAGAGGAAAGGAAAGTTAAAACATAACAAAATTTCACCTTAATTTAGATCTAAGTTAAAAATGAACGGTGTTAGTTTGTGTATTTTTTCAAAGTCCAAAAACAGTATATGAATCGCAAATTAATTATTATATTATAGTACTGGTTTTTCAATGAGATATACTGTATAAAGCATCTAGTAAAGAAAAGACATTTAATGAGAGTTCCCTTCCACTTCCTTTTAGAAATATGCTATCCTTTAAGCTTCCTCTGGAATTATACCTTCTTAGTCTTCTCTCTCACCCCCTCACTTCTTATAATAAAACAAACCTGTTCTATTTCAATTAACAGTCCTTTTTCACGCCCTTCTCCATTTGCCCATCTTTCCTTTCCAATGGATTCCATGGTTTTTCTAACATTCAACCATTTTCTTTATTCTTACTCTCATCCAGTTACCAAAGACAGAAATCTAAGAATAGATTTAATAACAAATAATATTCCCATTTTATATCCAGGAACTGAGATTCAAATTTAAAATAACTTTTGACAACATCATATGGCAAACCTGACTTCTAGTCATCCCATTCCATTAATTTAGCTAGATCAAAAGAAAAATGTCACTTTCTTATTTGTGGTCTAAAAACCAAAGTGGGCATAGATTTACAAACAGAAGGGAATTAGAAAGGTTATCCCTCATTTCACACAGAATCATATCCACTGATAATCTAAATACTATTTTAAAATACTTCCAGAAAACAAAATTCTATAACCTTAACACAATATAAACCTACTGTCGTCAAGTTGATTCCAACTCATGGTGACCCCATGTGTTAGAGAGTAGAATTGCTCCACTGGGTTTTCTTAGAGTCAGAATCGATTCGATGACAACTAACAACAAAAACAATAACACTCTTTATGGAAGCAGATCACCAGGCCTTTCTTCTATGGAGCCGCTGGCTGAGTCTGAAGCACCAGTAACATAGTATCTGAAAACTTCTTCTTTGCTCTTATCTTTGGAGGATGGTGGGACCATCTTACATGAAATGCAGATTTCCAAACATATCCATTTTCTTACCTGCATACCTTTACATGCTGCTGCATCTGCCCAACATTCCTACCCCTGTTGTTTGGATTTCCAGGGTTCTCAACCAGAGATAGTACCACTCCCATGAAAAACATGGACCTCTTTTCTGGTTACCCAATTACTGAGAGGTGCTGCTGGTATTCTGAGTTTCAAGGGCCAAGGATGCTTAGTCTGCAATGTAGGATTCTCCTGCCCAAGATGTTGATAGTGCACCTGCTGAGAAACACTGGCACCTAGCCAAGTCTTAGTAATTCCTCAGGAATTGGCCTAGGTACCACCTCCTTCAAAAATTATACTCTAATTCATATAATTTGACTTAGGTGCCCCTTTTATCTACTCTTATAGCTTATAGACTAAGAAATACTAGGAAGAAAGGCCTGGCAGTCTACTTCTGAAAAGTAGCCAATGAAAACCCTATTGATCATGACACAATATGTCTGATACAATGCTGGAATATGAGCCCCCTAGTTTGGAAGGTACTCAAAATACACAGTGACTGTAACTCACACATACCAAAGACTGTGAAGATGGTACAGGAGTGGGCAACGTTCTGTTTTGTTGTACATGATGTCTCCATGAGCTGGAGTCAACTTGGCAGCAACTAACAACAACAACAAAGTAAGGGTATACTCGCCTACCCCTATCATTACACTTATCACCATGTAAGTTAATTAACTATTTACTTGCCTGTCATGCCTATTAGAAATTAGTGAAACCTGTGAGAGCTGGAACTCGACAGGATTGCCTTGTTTTTCCAGGTCTTACAAGTTTTCCACCTTTGACAGGGTGCAGTCTTTAAACACTTTTCTATCACTTATTTTAGTAGAAAATATTTGAGTTTTCCTTCTCTGACAGGTTTCCACCTTACACGGGTTCTGGCTTTCACAGTTTTTAACTATATAATTTTTACTGTACTTTAAAAATTAAGAAGATGCTAAATGACTGATTGAGTATACTTACCAGAGTGAGCAACCCCACATGCTTTTTTGACAGGATCTGCAAAAACTATCGGTATACAGTCAGCACCAAGAGCCGCTATGGTGACCCCTCTCTGATTTGTGGTTATTCCATCATAAGATTCAGGCTCCTTCCTTCCCATAATCCAGACGTCATTGGCATGATCAGTCTAATACCAAAGGTACATAATAAAAATATTTTGAAAACAGGTTTTATCATATCATAAGTTTTTTTACTAAAGTACTCATTTCAGTACAAAATTATAAAACCAGTTTAAGACTACTAGCATTCATTAAATATATCACTCCCGCATATGGTAGGAAGGAGCCCTGGGTGCAATGGTTACGGCAGCTTGGCTGCTAACTGAAAGGTCGGTGGTTCGACCCCACGAGCAGCTTCATGGGGGAAGACCTGGCGATCTTCTCCTGTAAAGACCACAGCCTAGGAAACCCTATAAAGCAGTTCTAGTCTGTCCTATAGGGTCGCTATGAGTCAGAATAGACTCAACAGCATACAACAAGAACATACGGTAAACACGCCAAATTTACTTATCATATAATTTTTTAAGCTTTTGGTATTATAATCTCTGAATATTTTATTCAAAGGAAAATAGACTTTAACATTTAAAAATCCAATCGAGTCCATCATCAACACCTCCCACTAAAGACAGGTGCATCTCTACTTGCAGCACTTTCTGTGAAGCACTATTTTATTGGAGGAAGTTAAATTAATTATTAAATCAGTAATATTCCTACTTTTTCTTAGACTCAAATAAATAAGAATTCTGAAAGGAACATGGCATTGTTCCAATCTCAGCAGTTGTGACCCTAGTTTCTCCTAGTGTTGAGTTAATAATGGTCATTCTTCCCCCACCATTCAAGACTCTTCCTTCTAAATGAAAAAGGGCAGTGGTACTATACTCTGAGAATTAACTGTTTTCAGAAGTGAGGAGTGCCAGCAGAAATACATACATCACAGAACTGACCTTTGGGCTATGGTATTCAGATATACATAACCACAAACACTACCCTAAAATTTTAAATAAAACATCAGATGGAAAAGTTAAATGGCTTGGTTAAAGTCCATGTAGTCACTGGCCAAGTCAAGAATGTACTTCAGACCTTGCACAATATGAAGCAAAAGTTTACCTTTATTCGGTAAAATTTCTCTGCATTAAATCCTGCAGCATTCGCCAACCTACGCAGATTTTCTTGAACAACTGCCTTGGGGTCTCTCCGTTTGGAACTACTGAAGAGATTTAATGAGCTGAGAGTTGGTAGGTAAGAGATTCCACCTGTTCTTGTAGTGAATCCATGTATGAAAATATCTGTTGGAAGATAAGTGGTGAAAATTAAAAAGAATGCCCCACAATGGACTGCAAAGCATTACAAAACCAGTCTCTCAGTAAGACACTCCCTGCTCACTTTAATCTGTACTTCCTTATCTGGCTTCTAATTTCTACAGCACTTTGTACGTCATTGTGTTCTTATTACACACTAACTTGTGTTTGTCTTACATTCTCTATGGGATTATTGCTCATCAAAAAAATATCTACTGTCCCATTTGTCTTTGTATGCCCAACAGCATATAGCTCATAGTATCTTTTATGCAAAGACTATTTTAAATTTCATTCTTTTACCCATATCTCACACCATACACAAAAACTAACTCAAAATGGATCAAAGACCTAAAGATAAAACCTAAAACTATAAAGATCATGGAAGAAAAAATAGGGACAATGCTGGGGGCCCTAATATATGGCATAAATAGAATACCAAACATAATTACAAATGCACAAACAGCAGAAGATGAACTAGATAAATGGGACTCCCTAAAAATTAAACACTTATGCTTCTCAAAAGACTTCTCCAAATGAATAAAAAGAGAACTTACAGACTGGGAACAAAAATTTGGCTACGACATATCTGACAAGGGTTTAATCTCTAAAAATTTATAGAAAACGTCAACACTTCAACAAGAAAAATACAATCCAATTAAAAAATGGGCAAAGGATATGAACAGACACTTCACCAAACAAGATATTCAGGCATCAAACAAACAGATGAAGAAATGCTTGCAATGATTAGTCATTAGAGAAACGCAAATCAAAGCTACAATGAGATACCATCTCAACCCGACATTACTGGCACTAATCAAAAAAACAGAAAATGACAAATGTTGGAGAGGTTGCAGGGAGACTGGAACACCTATACACTGCTGGTGGGAATGTAAAACGGTATAATCACTACGGAAAATGGTATGGTGCTTCCTTAAAAAGCTAGAAATAGAAATACCATATGACCCAGCAATCCCACTCCTAGGTATATACCCTAAAGAAATAAGAGCTGTGACACAAATCGACATATGCATACCTATATTCACTGCAGCATTATTCACAATAGTAAAAAGATGGAAACAGACTAAGTGCCCATCAACAGGTGAATGGATTAACAAACGGTGGTACATACACACAACGGAATACCATGCAACAATAAAGAATAATGACAAGTCCAAGGAACATATCACAACATGGATGAATCTGGAGGAACACTATGCTAAGTGATATAAGCCAATCACAAAAGGACAAGTACTGTATGTGACCACTACTACAAAGGAACAAGAAAAGGTTTACATGCGGAAAAAAAAAATTCTTTGATGGGAGGGGAAGGGAGGGAAAATTACTAAGTAGATAGAAGACACATGTTAATATTGGTGAAGGGAAAGGCTATGCAATATGAGGGAAGTCAGCAAAACATGACCAAGGCATGGAAGGACAGAGAGAGGAATGGAAGGACACTGAGAGGAATGCAACAACAAAGGGCAACAACAGTAATTACTACAGCATAGACAATCCTGCAACAATAGTATTAATAAACACTAATTCACGTATGGATACATAGGTAGATAGATTATGCCAAAAGATTTGGGTGGGTGTCTTAGTCATCTAGTGCTGCTATAACAGAAATACCACAAGTGGATGGCTTTAACAAAGATAAATTTATTTCTTCACGGTCAAGTAGGCTAAAGGTCCAAATTCAGGGCGTCAGCTCCAGGGGAAGGTTTTCTCTCATCAATGTTCCCGAGGACTAAGAGCTTCTCCGCACAGGAACCCCAGGTCCAAACGACATGATCTGCTCCTGGCACTGCTTTCTTGGTGGTATGAGGTCCCCCTGTCTCTCTGCTCACTTCTCTCTTTTATATCTCAAGAGGATGCCTCAGGACACAATCCAATCTTATAGACTGAGTTCTGCCTTACTAACACAACTGCCACCCATCCTCCCTCATTAACATCATACAGGCAGGATTTACAACATATAGGAAAATAACACAATACCAGGAATCATGGCCCAGCCAAATTGATACACACATTTTTTGGGGGACATAATTCAATCCATGACAGCAGGTGTAAGGGAACACACCCATCTGCAGGCAGAGGTTTGGTGGTGGATATTTCTACATACATAACTGCAGGTGCTGCTTACGTATTAATATAGTCAACAGAGCACACTAGGGCCACGTCAGGGCAACTTCTTAGACATTAACACCTAGCGGGAAGAAGTTCCTAAGCTCAAAGGTGAAGGACCATAGACTCAGGTGACATCTACGTCAATTGGCACAATATAGCTCGTAAAAACAAAGTTCTGCATCCTAGTTCGGTGAGTAGCGTCTGGGGTTTTAAAGGCTTGCAAATGGCCATCTAAGATACAACTATTGTCTCTTACCATCCAGAGCAAATGAGAGTGAAGAAAACCAAAGACTTAAGGCAGCAATTAGTCCAAAGGACTAATGGACCACATGAACCACAGCCTCTAGTTCTTCCCAGATCCGAAGAACTAGGTGGTGCCCAGCTACCGCTACTGACTGCTCTGACTGGGATCACAGCAGAGGGTCCCAGACAGAGCAGGAGAAAAACTGTAGAACAAAAAATCAAATTCACAAAAAAGACCAGACTTTATGGTCCTTCTGAACTGGAACTGAAGCCATTCCCAGAGAACACCCTTCAGCTAAACAATAGACAGGCCCATAAAATATACACTAACACCGAAAGGAACGTGCTCCTTAGAACAATCAATTATTCGAGATCAAAAGGGCAACATTTGCCCAAAACCAAAGATTAGAAGGCAGATAGGGGTAGAAAAGCAGGACGAAAGGAAACGGGGAAACTAGGGTGGAAATGAGGAGAGTGTTGACACATTGTGGGGAATGATACCAATGTCATGGAACACTTTATGCACAAACTAATTTGCTCTGTAAGCTTTCACCTAATGCACAATAAATAAATAAATTTCACTCTTTTATGAACACTCAATGAATTGAGGTTTCAGAATTTCTAAATAGTAGATGGTCAGGGTCATAAATCTAATTTTAAAAGAGGACTGAAAGATATGTCTCAGAGCTGAATTTGCATAAAGCAAATGTATTTATCTAATGTGGCTTTGAAGGGGCTGATAGCCATTAAGTCTCTATCCCTTTACACCCATGTTGCAACTGATGCAAAATCCCATAAGTCCACAACAGTCAATAAAAGAAAGTAGGAAAAAAAGAGGTGAACAACCTCTAAAGAAAAAGGGGTTTTTCATGTACACATTAAAAACTACATATGGTGTTTAGCATACCTGGAATTGAAGGAGATGTGATAATGGTTAATTCTCCTTTCAATGGGGGCAGACTTCTCAAATATGTTTCTACTTCATTCTGGATTTCTTCTAATTCTTGAGCTGTAATCATGTTTATTTCATTGGACTGTTTCAAGAGGCCTCCCTGCAAAGTCATCTGTAAATCTTCAAACTCAAAACTATAAACATCAGTGAAGAGTTGATCAATAAAAGCCTTCATTAATGTCTTCCTGTACACGGGTACAATTACCTTAATGCTGCTCAGGTTTTTTTCATCAATTTTCTGTTTAATGGTATACAGAGAGGCAACCATACTGGAATTGCTAACAGTCTCAAATTTCCTCAAGAGAGCGGATAACCCATTATTTATTTCTAGTTCACAATTACCACATTCACCATCCGTTTCACTGCTGATGTTACTGCAACACATTATGCAAAAGAACTTCGCATTGGCAGTATGGTGGTATCGGACAGCATTCAATGCTTTCAGTAACATCTGATGACAGTTTTTCTGAGAGTTTAATTTCAAACCAAAAAGATCAAGCAACACTGCTTCTGCCATCCTTCAATATTGTAGAAAGTGCTTCAGAGAAGACTTTTGTGCCAAGTAAGTCACCTGTAAAGAATAATTAGCATAAATAAGAATGCAAAATTGTATCAATCTTCCTATGGTTATAGCAGAAAATTGTGGTGAGATAAAAAAGAATTGGTTTGATCTGATAATGTAACCCATGAAATAGTTAAGTGTAGACGTCTCCAAAAAAAGTTAGCCTACAATTTGTCAAAAGAGAGTCATAATAATTAATGGAAAGCAATCTCTTAATTTGTTTTGTGAAAGTTTTTATATATCTTTTCAGCAGAAAAACAAATGTTAAGTAGCGAATTACTTGACTTAAATTAAGTACTTATTTTAATTATAGGGTGTCAACCTATGCGATACATCATTAATCCTGACATGATTATCATGTTAGGTCACATCTGTTCATATGAAGTATCAGAGCCTTAAGTTCAGGTTAAATGGAGCTGCACCTGAAAATCACGTTTTTTAAGGAGAGAGAAAAGCTGAGAAGACTGATAAATTTCCCTTCAAGATTTACACAGTAATCCTGGTGGTGAAAACAGTTAAGTGCTCAGCTGCTAACCAAAGGTTGTTGGTTGGAACCCACCCAACAGCTCCGGGGAGAAAGACCTGGAGATCTGCTTCAATAAAATTACAACCTAGAAAACCCTATGGGGCAGTCCTACTCTGTAACACATGGGGTCGCTATGAGTCAGAATGGACTGAAGGGCATCCAACAACACCCACGTATGACAATTTCACAAAAGCGATTGCTTTTACCTACTTTCCTATTCATTCTCCCCAAGCAGATTTTCTCACCTCCACCTTGCTGCTGGTCTCCCTTTGGCTAGGGCAGTTTCCTGGAAGACTTTTTTGACGGAGAGACACACATTCGAAGCTGTTGTGGCTGTCCTTGCCTTCTCGCACTTCACACGCTCGGTTACGATCTGGGGTCTCCCCCACCCCCGGTATCGCCCTGAGTCTCTGAACGAAACCTGGAAGCTGCGCGTGTGTCACCTGGAGCGATGAGCCGGCCCCTGGCAGCACTGTCCTCCGCAGTGGTGACACCCACCTCACCTCACCTCACCGCGGACGGACTGGACCCCCACCTGGCATCGACCCAGGCTTCCTGCTGAACTCCCGCCGAGGGTTACGGGTTCCGCAGGCAGCGGAGAGCAGTGGTAAGGCTGACGAACTGCAAGGAGGCACAGAGGTCCGGAGGCAGGGCTGGGACTGCCGCGCATGCACCTTGCGGACTCGGAGAGCCGAGCCCGCGCGCAGGGGAATCCCGGGATGAGCCAAGTGCCCGCCCGTCGGCGGCCGGCTCAGCAGTTCCGGGTCAGAGCGTCCCGTCGAGCCTGCAGCCCGCAGCCCCGACCGAGGCGAGAAGAGGAACAGGAACCAGGGCCGCGGAAGGCCCCTCTGACCCGAGCCAGGCGGGTCAGCGGGCAGGCAGCGGGGAGGCTGCGCAGGCGGGGCCCAGAGGGAGAGGGCACGCGGGACCGCGGGCGGGAACGGCGGGTCCCCTGAGAGGGTGTAGAAGGCAGGGCCCGAGAGGGGCGCGGGCGACGGGCGTGGTAATAACGCCTTTCCAGCCCTAGACCACCACCTCATCCTCCCTTCCGCAGTGGAAACCCCTTCAGGACCTCTCTGGAGGTCCGCTCTTCCCGTTGCTCTGGGACGAATCGCTGAGCCCGCAGTGTGGTCAGAACTTGTTTTACTTACCAGACCGCAGAACTGCGAAGCTCATCACGTTAGCATTTGGTAGTTTGTCCCATCCAGGGTTCCAGTAAAGGGAACTTTTTAAATAGTTTTTTTTTTTTTACTTCCAAAACAAGATTGGTCCTCTTTGTTCGCCTTTGGGCGACTTTGCCTTTCTCGTTGACGGGACCAACACTTTACTGCTCCTTCACATGTATGAACGAACAGATTTTCTCTATTCCCTTTTTAAATACGTGCCACTAGTAGGAAGTTGGAGCCCTGGTGAGCTGCTAACCAAAAAGGTCGGCAGTTCAAATCCACCAGCCGCTCCTTGGAAACCCTATGGGCAGTTCTACTTTGTCCTATAGGGTCGCTATGAGTCGGGATCGACTCGACGGCAACGGTTTTGTTTTAGTAGAAAATTAGAAGGTACTAACCCTTAGAATTGTGATAAAGGTGCAGTATAGATCCTCAAAGAGTACAAGGTTTATTTATTTTAAAATATTGAGCAGCTGTATGGAAGGCAGGTGTTGTGGTAAAGAAATACCCAGTCTTCAAAGAGTAGGAGAAAGGGTGCTTCCTGTGGAACTGGATATGATGGAAGGAGAGAATCCATTTATCTTTATTGTTGCTCAGGTGATAAATGCTGAAGAACCTTTATCTGGCAGAGGAAGAGAATCTCGAAAATCTGGTAGTTTAGAAGAGCACTTGGAGGTAGGCAAGTGCTTCCACTTGACCAGAGAATGGGATCAGCAACCCTGAATAGGAACTCTCTTTTCAGTATTCCTAGCAGATGTTTTCATCACGATTTGCGTCGTCATTATTTCTTCTGGACATTTGTTAAGAAGTCTGAGTGGTAGATGGTAAACCTCTTGAGCAGAAGGTACATTCTCTGTCCTAAGTTTGTTTTATGTTAAATACTACCTCAAGTAAAATGGAAGTCTTAATTAAAAATAGGTTTAAAACATTTATCCTGTTTTCACAGACAGTGGTGGAAATTCATTTTTCTGCAGCAGCAGTAGCAGTAAAAAAGAAAAAAAAATTTAAGTAGTGGAGTTGTTGGGGGAAGAGAAATCTTATTGTCATACTGTATTTACATATCACTTCCTTTCACTGTCTTGTCAGAGAGTACTACCTAGCCTCATCTTCTATACTCTCCTACCCTTCCCCAGTTACCCCACTCTAGTGGTTCTCAATGTCAGTAGCACAACAGAACAACTAGTGGAGCTTTTCAAAACAATAAATGCAAGGCTTCACGCCAGATATACAGTGAATTAGAATCTCTGGGAGTCCTGCTGGGGCTTGTTTTACTTTGTTTTGTTTTACAAACAACTCTACAGATGATTCAGATGCATAATCAGGTTTCAACAAAATCATTGCCCTATTCCCAAAACACCCGAACAAAAGGACGGGTCACACAGGTTCATTGTTTACATGTGCTATTCCTCTGCTTAGAACACCATTCTCTTTATAGGCCGGTTTTATTATTCAAGATTCTTCAAAGTCAAATTTAACCTTGTCTGAAAGCTTCCCCTCTGCAAGCATAATTATTTGCTGCTGCTTTAGCATTTCATTCGTACAGAAGAAGCCTTGTCATAGATGCAGTCCAGACTGGACTATGGAAAAATTGGAGAAAGTCAGTTAAACATTGAATTGTACACTTTATAAGAATGAATTTTATGGTTTATAAATTATATAAAGCTGTTTAAAAAAAAGAAAAAAATGGGTTAAACCAGAGAATCATGAAAAAAATAACATAAATATCTCAAACATTTTTATTTTAACCTAAAACAAATAACTATGCTCATTTGCCAATCTGTTGAGAAAAGCCAAGGCCTTTTTTTTTTGCACATGGACTGCTGATTAGACTTCTGCATTGTCTCTCTTGTATAAACCATACCATCAGCTAAGATTTCCCCAGATTTGATTTCCTTAAGAGGAAAATAATTTAAAGGCACTTGTGAATCAGAATGCAAATTGATTCTTCTTAATCCCTTAGCGTTGTATTACACAAACAACTTACGTTTATTGGGTCTTTCCAGAATATGAAATGATTTTTAAAGAAACAGACTATTTTTAAGCTGTTTCATTGGTTTACGTATTACGTAAAATATTATGAACAACATATAAAATATAATGAAAACAAAATAACAAGTACAACTGGCATAAACAGGTTTGGGAACAAACATAAGTAACTCATTGTAAGATTGTAGAATTCAACTGGTAGAAGGAGACGCAAGCAGACTCACTAGAGAATAGCTTATTAGCCATGAGGATTTCAGCATGATGGGGCATTAGCCACTTATGATTTACAAAGAAAATAATTCAGATTAATTGATGACAGGTTAAGTAGAAGATGACTAAGAGAACTTTTAATGTACTTACACATTTTAATTATTTGACCATGTGTCCATTCCTCCCAGAGAGAGGAAAACATTTTGAGGGCAGATATAGTGCTGGCCGTTAAGGGGAACCATTGAGGAAATCCCAAGATGTTCTTTTTTATTTTATTTTATTGTGATTTTGGAGAAAATTTACATAGCAAATTAGGCTCTCATTTAACAATTTCTATACATGTTATTCATTAACATTGGTTACACTTTTCACAATGTGTCAGCATTCTCATTATTTCCATTCTGATTGTTCTGTTTCCCTTAATCTACCTTCCTTGTCCCCCTTTACCTTCTTATCTTTGGCCTAGGTTAAATGTTGACTGTTAGGTCTTATTAAGATGATTGTTTAGAGGAGCACAGTACTCACGGGTAATATTTATTTTATGAGCCACTCTGTCTTTTGGCTGATAGGTGACCTCAGAGAGTGGTTTGAGTTCCAAGTTTAAAGACATTCCCAGGGTGATAGTCTTGGGGGTTCCTGTAGTCTCTGTTAGTCCAGTGAGTCAGGCCTTTTTTAGGAATTTGAGTTTTGCTGTACATGTTTTTCCCTTTCTATCTGGGACCATCTGCTGTGTCCTTGGTTGGAATAGTCAGCAGTAGTAGCCGGGCACCATCTAATTCTTCTGGTCTCAAGGTAGGTGAGGCCATAGTTTGTGTAGATTATTAGTTCTATAGACTAGTTTCTTTTTTGAGTCTTTGGTTTCCTTCTTTCTCTTTTGCTCCAGACGCATAAAGACCAATAGTTGTATCTTAGATGGCCACTCACAAGCTTTTAAGACCCTAGACCCCCGCTACTCACTGAACTAGGATGTTATGCCAGTTGACCTATGAGCTATGAGCTATGTTATCCCAGTTGACCGAGTTGCTCCCCCAAGACTATGGTCTTAAGCCCTCAAACCCAGTAACGCAGTCTCATGAGGTATTTGGTTATGTCTAGGAAGTATCCACAACTGTGCCCCCTATGTGCTTAATTTTATATATGAATATATATGTAGTACACTCAAATAAGTATATAAATTTGCCTATAGATACACCTGTACATGCACACAGGTATGTGTGCTTACCTATACATATATAGGCATACATACTTACCTATGTAATCACACATATTTTTTGGTGGTTGTTATTGTTGTTGCAAAATTGTATATGTTGTGGCTTTTACCAAAATCCTTTATTCTTGTGTACTTCTTAATGTCGTCTTTTACCTTGGTCAGGTTGTACTGACTTCATCCTTATTCAGTATTGCCTTACCCATCACCAAAACTAACAAGTATCTACTATCTAGAAAGTGATTCCCCCTCGCCATCTCCCCCCATCCCTGGTAAACACCAAAGAATGCTACTTTCTATATGTGTACCTATTCTTGTCTTTTTATAATAGTGAGATCATACAGTATTTGTTCTTTTGTGATTGACTTATGCTACTCAGCATAATGTCCTCCAGATTCATTCACATTATATAGTATACTTTGAGAACTCATCATTTTTCTTTATGGCTGCATAGTATTCCATTGTGTGTATGTACCCCAGTTTGTTCATTCATTTATCTTTTGATGGGCACTTAGGCTGTTTCCATCTTCTTGCTATTGTGAGTAATCGTACAATGAACATAGTGTGCATATATCTATTTGTGTCAGTAGTTTTAGTTCTCTAGGATATATATACCTAGGCTTGGGATTGCTGGATCATAGAGTATTTTTATTTCTAGCTTTTTGAGGAAATGCCATATCGTTTTCCATAGTGGTTGAACCAGTTTACAGTCCCACCAGCAGTAGAGCAGGGTTCCAATCTCCCTGCAGCCTTGCCAGCATTTGTTTTCTTTTTTTTTGATCAGTGCCATTTTTGCAGGGGTGATATGGTATCTCATTGTAGCTTTGATTTGCATCTGTCTGATGGCTAATGATCACGAGCATCTTTTCATGTGTTTGTTGGCAGCTTGAATGCCCTCTTTGGTGAAATGTTTGTTCATGTGCTTTGCCCATTTTTTAACTGGGTGGTTTGTCTTTTTGTTTTTGAGTTGTTGAGAACCAAGATGTTCTTATATCACCATGTAAATCTTCTCATGAGAATAAATGGAAGTTAAAAATACTGTGAACAGTTGTTTTTAAGCAATTTGCCCTGAAGTTTATGGATCCTTCCAGAAAAAGACATGTAACATCTGCAGAGTTCCTTGTTAAAAGCTCTTCTTGGCTTAGAAATCATGCTTACATGTTTAGAAAACAGAAAAAAATCTTGCACGTTGGCATCCCAAATGAGACAAGGGGGTTATAACTGAATTTCACCAAGGGCCTTTAATTTTCTATACCAGAGGTAGGCACCTTTTGAAGCAGTTGACTAGTCATTCCTTTTTCATCTGCCAGCCATGTTTTATGCCTCTGGACCTCACTGGCAAAGCATTTCCCATTCTAATGCATTTAGCGTCAAGGTGGGTCCCTTTTGAAATGTGTGAAGCTCAGCAGACCTGAGTTGGAGATTCATTGTTGTATAGTTTGAGCATTCTATTAAGTGAGCTTTCTGGATGTGTTAGTTTTGTAAACTTTGACCACTTGTTCCTCTATTTCTGTGAGATGAGGCTTGCAAGCATAATTATGACTTTCTTGCGTGACAGGGCACCGGGTTGTTTTTTTTTTGGAAAGGTGTCGCTGTGAGTCATAACTGACTCAGCAGCACCTGACAATAACAGTTCCTTGGCATACTGTCATGCCACAGATCGGTGGCGCCACAGTGCCACTAGTCTCATTGGTGGATGGTATTGCCAGATCATATTTCTCAAAATCCATACTACCAACCAAAAATCTGAACACACTCAGTAAGCATGCATTCCAATACTGAAAACACATGCTATCAAAAAAAAGTTTTTTTAAATAAAAATTTGGTAACTGAAGGCTTAAAGCATGAATGTGGGCTGCAGACCAATGCCTACATGTCTACATGCAAAAACGAGATGATTTGATAGTCTAGTACTTTCTGCACATGCAGAGAATTCCAACCTTTGGTAGAAAGCCAGGAGCAATGTGGGTAATGTATGAATGTTGCTTATACTGTTTTGGATAGGAGTTGAAAAACAGTACAATTCCTCTGGTTTCTGCTCTTAGGGCCCTGAAACTTTAATCTCAGTGCCTGGCCAGAAAAGGGAGTAAGTAGTCCCTAGTTTCAGCAGCTTCTAAGACACTGTCATATAATAGGTATGTAATAAATTTTTAATGATTCAGTTAATTACTTTTGGATGACTCTGATGATGTTATAACTTTTTTTAAAAACGTGGTTGAAGACTTAAAAGTCTTTTTTACCTGAAGCATGTATCATTGATTCTTACTCATTT